ATGAGGTACAATGCTGTCTGTGATAGGATAATATCCATGTGCCTACAGGGAAGCCCAGTTCATACTACTATTATTCAAATTTATGCACCAACCACTAGGGCCAGTGAAGATGAAATAGAAGAATTCTACCAACTTCTTCAATCTGAAATTGATCAAACATGCAATCAAGATGTATTGTAAATGTTTACAGGAGCAGAAAGCCTCATCTTTCTCCTGCAGAAATGCTGGTAGTTTCGAACTGCTGACCTTGAGATTAGCAGCCCGATTTGTAACCACTACGCTATCAGAGCTCTCTCTAATAGGTGTTGTTGTTGTTGTTGTTGTTGTTGTTGTTAAATACTGTTGAGTCAATTCCGACCCATAGAGACCCTGTATAGGGTTTCCAAGGAGAAGTGAACTTGAACTGCCGACCTCGCAGTTCAAACAGCTTTGCAGTCTGGTGTACTAACCCATAGCACCACACCAGGACTCCACATATAGGTGTAGCAGAGGATATTCCTACATACATATTTGTGTATGCTGCAAATATATCCATGTATATAGTAGATCAATTGGGGGCAAATTTATGAAATTTTTTTAGCTGTAACCAAACATCTTAAGGAAATCTATCACTGGGTTTGGGGTTTAGGACCACAGTGTCAGGGACATAACATGATTCACAAAGGCAATATTCTACATCTTACTGTGGTTAGTAGCATCTGGGATCTTAAAAGTTGTGAGCAGCCATTTAGGATGCAACTTTCCCTGTCCAGAGTAAAGAAAAGTAAATAAGATAGAAGACTCAAGGAATCACAGTCCAAAGGACTAATGGACCACTCAAACCACAGCCTCTACTATCCTGACACTAGAACTACCAACTACCACTACCAACTACTCTGATCAGGACTGCAGAAAGTCCTGGAACGGGACAAAAATAGAGAACAAAATTCAAAATCACACACACAAAAAAAGCAACAACAAATGAGCCTCATAGAGACTGGTGGAACCCCCGAGATTCTGGCCCTTAGATACCCTCAGATCTGCAACTGAACTCACACCTAGGTATTACCTTTCATCCAAACAACAGGCAGGTCTATAAAGTGAAAATTAACATTCATGAGTAATGTACTGCTCAGAACAATTAACCATACCATGTGAAGACAAAAGGACAGCATTTGCCCCAAAACAAAGTTCAGAAGGCAAGAAAGGGCAGGAAACCGGTAGCCTAGGGAGGAAGTGGGACGAGTACTGTGTGTGACATTGAGGGAATTGTAACAAACGTGGTGAAACATAATGTGTATAAACTGTTGAAAGGAACACAAAGTTGTTCTGTAAACTTTCACCCCCAACTACAATTAAAAAAAACCAAAAAACCCTCTTTATTGTGTTCTTTCACATTCCTAATGATCTATTTATAGTTAAAGACTCTATAAGAAAGCACAGGTTCATTTTCATGTCAGTGTCTATACATTCTAAAATACTTTTCTTCTATTAGGTTGTTTATTATGTCTTTGGTTGAGACAACAAAAACCAATCTAGATGAATATTTCCCCGGTGTGGAATTAGAAAACCACAAGCAATTTGCAGAATGTGAGAGGAGCCTGGGCCTGGGTGATTTTCCCAGGAGCAGCGACACTGCTGAGAAGAGTCTGGATTTTAGTCAATCCCTGTGTTCCTGCAGAACTTCAAGTTCTCATTGTGATTACTCAGAAGACTTTGTCTCAGAATGTTCAGAAACAGCTGTCAGTAGAGATTATTTGGAGCAGCCTGTGATAACAGAAAAGAAGGAGCAGAAGAAAAAACATGTTTCTAGATTCTCCCAACCTAAAGGTAAGAAGCACAATTTCGCAACCAAGACTAAATGTCTGGTTATTATGACATTATTACTTTATGCACCAGTATCTGAAGTGATTGATTTTTGGTTCAGATCCACTATCCGCTCCATGGGAGAAGATGAGGCTATCTGTTCCCATAAAGATTTACAGTCTTAGAAACCCTTGGGGGTGGTTCTACTTTGCCCTTTGTGATCACTTTGAGTGAGAATCATCTCAGTGGCAGCAGGTTTGCTGTGGTTTGATATATTCAGTTTTATTGTTTTTGCCATTGTAAATATATGTCAAGTTTTACAGAAATAATTTGGAAATGGGAAAATTCTGAATAATTACAAAATAGCAGAAAATTAGGTTTAAAATATGAACACTTCTTGCAGAACTTCTCGACCTACCACCCACTACTGAGGTCACTTCCATTTTCAGTTAACAGGTGGCCTGGTTACCGAGGCCCGCAATACCTGGATTTCACTGGCTTCTTGCCTTTCATCTCAGCTGAAGAACCAAAGTGTGAAGCACCGATGAAATGTAAAAACTTGTCTCAAAAGCCCAAGAGGATGGCTGCCAAGTCTGGTGAGGCATATTGACAAAGCAATCTTCTGAAACAGTGGAGATTCAAAAGGCTCTTCATGATATCACTTCTTTATAGATTTTTAAAGTACCAACACTCTCAACTCCTAACTATGGAAGCTGGAATTAGCCTTGTGCTATATCCTTAATGTCCTTCCACCCTTACCTCCTTGCAATCCTGGGCTTGTAAATATTCCTCTATATAAATTGCTGCCCTAGCCAGGAGTGCTTTTCTACTTTGATCATTAGAATTGCCCTCAGTCAGCTGTCAACAAATACTCACTAAGAGCCTATTGTTTGCAGGCATATTTACCACTGTCGTGCTTGCCCGAATCTTTACCCACAGCCTGCTATTACCAGGTGTGTCTAGGAACCCTCCTGCCCACTTATGGCTAAATCTGGAATTGTCAGTTCCCCTTTTCCTAGCTACAAAGCAGGGATCTAAGACTGATAACTGTGAAATCCATGAAATTTTATGCATCTGCTGTGTGAATGTGTGTGTTTATGACCTTTTCTAAGGAATGAAGACCCATAGCTTTCATCAGATTCTCAAAAGCTTTAAAATGGGAAACTTTTTCTAGATAGGAGTTCTACACCCACTTGGTGATGCCTGGGGACAAAGGAAAGTCCAGTCCCTTGTCTCTCTGTGGGACGGTGACTGGAAATGTCTGTTTGTGACATTTGGAAGAAATTTTCACAACAGAACAGCATCATGGTTAGGTTCTGTTATACTACAGTTACTCAATCCCTCATCTACATTTGAAATTTACGAAGCTTTGAAAACACAACATTTTTCATGGTTGCTGTGAGTCAGAACCAACTCTATGACATTTAATAACAACAACAATAATATATGAAATAGCAGGCCTAAAGCATGGGCAGTCATTAAATATTAGTTCTTCTTCCCAGTGACCTTTAAGTTCATGTGTGTGTTTGTGTGTCTGTGTGTGCCCGTCAAAGTGGGGACAGGGGCTAAACGTGTGCATACCTCTGTATATTACTAGTAACAAACTGGATTATTTGCTTACACAGGCCCTAAGGAAATCTCAGCTGAAAAAAAGCACAGCTGGAACACATCAGTTTTAAATTCTCAAACCAATGTGATTACCCAAAGGAGAAATGCTCTGGCTCATCGCATAATGTCCGCAAGGCTTTGTAAGATTAAAGAACTGAAAAATGATCTAGCTGATATACATCGCAAATTGGAAGCCACGATCATAGAAAATCAATTTTTGAAGCAACTGCAGTTCAGGCACTTGAAAGCTATTGGAAAATATGAAAACTCACAGAATAATCTTCCTCAAATTATTATTAAACATCAGAATGAAGTAAAAAATCTAAGGCAGCTTCTTAGGAAATCCCAGGAAAAGGAAAGAACTGTGTCTAGGAAACTTAGGGAAACTGACAATGAATTACTGAGAACTAAGGATGCCTTACAGGCACTGCAGAAACTTGCTGAAGATAAAAATCTTGCAGAGAGGGAAGAACTTACTCAAAATTTATCTGTTCTCACAACAAAATTGGAGGCAAATGACAAAAGAATACAGGTCTGTACTTCAGCGGCCTAGAACACTTAAACGGTATCGAAAATAATGAGGGAGGGTATACTGGAACCTATCTGTATCCTCGCTAATGAAGCACCACAAACTGCTTTGCCTGCAGACCACACGAAATAATTGTGTATGGGAGGGAAAGTGTTTAAAGAAGAGAGGAAAGGCTCCAAACTGAAACTTTTTTGTTGTCATAGTGAGCAAAGAACTCATTCTGTTGTTAGACTAATTTCTTTGGAAATGATCCTCTCCAGTGTTAGGGGAGTTAGTGATTAAAAGGTACATTATGCTGTGCAGAAATGTCTCTTAGAAATCACCCTTCTGCTTCAAACTGTTACTGAAAGAATACTTTCTGAAAACCTAACCAGTGTGTCTGTTCAGTCCCCTTTCCTTTTAGTCTCCCTCATCAGTTCAGCTTATCATTACAAAACAAGCATTTTTCAATATTTTAGATATAGGAATTTTCCCCAGCTAGTGTCCTTGGAAAAAGGAAGGGGGAAAGGAGTTGAAATAATTGAGAGAAATGGATTTCGTTTTCTTTGATGGTTCCTGGTTGTTGGTAGTTTCAGGTTTGTATTACAAGGGATGACTTGGGAAAACACACTGATCATATTATAAATTCTCTTACCTATTCTACATTAAAATAGCAATCTGTAGACATAAACATGGATGGAATTTATTTACTGTCCATTCCCAATCTTGTTGGTGACAAGCAAGTATTTTCTATGATCTTGATGTAATAGGGAAGTAAATTCATCTTATCCCCCTTTTTATGTCAGTTATTTCTTGTTAGTAAAATGTCTTCCATCATTAAAGCATTTTCTCACATAGAATGGATATGTAAACTACAGAAATCAATGAGCAGCCTCATTTTCCATCCTTGTAAATAGTTTACCAAATTTATATTATTTTTTAGATAATATTGGATCCTTGTTAGCATATGAATCTATCACATAAAAGTAAATGTATTTTTCCCATTAGACAGATGACAAAAAAGCAAGAATTCAAGACCTATTTAACTATTTCTTGGCTATCACTCTACTATACCAAGAAATTTGGAAGACAGCTACCTAGACACCTGACTAGAAGAGATCCATATTTGTGCCTATTCCAAAGCAAAGTGATCACATGCAGATAAAATGATGCTGAATATAATTCAAAAAACATTTGCAGTGCATGGATAGGGAACTGCCAGAAATCCTAGTCGGATTCAGAAGAGAACATGGAACAAGGGATATCATTGCTGATATCAGACGGATTTTAGTTAAAAGCAAAAAATACCAGAAAAATGTTGTGTTTCATTTGACAATGTGAATCATAATAAATTATGGATAACATTGAGAAGAATGGGAATTCTAGAACACTTAATTGTATTCATATGGAAACTTGCATAGACCAAGAGGCAGTCATCCAGTAGAACAAGGAGATACCTAATGGTATATAATTAGGAAAGATATACATCGGAGTTGTTTCATTTCACCATACTTCTCCATCTGTATGCTGAGCAAATAATCCGCACTATATGAAGAAAAACTGAGCATCAGGGTTGTATTCTTTCACCTTACTTTTTCAATCTAGATGCTGAACAAATAAGTTGAGCTATGTGAAGAACACAGCATCAGGATTGAAGGAAGACTCATTAACTAACTGGACTATGCAGATAACACAACCTTGCTTGCTGAATGTGAAAAATAATTGGAAGTACTTACAGATGAAGATCAAAGACAACCCTCAATATAGATTGCACCTCAACATAAATAAAACAAAAATCCTCACAACTGGACCAATGAGCAACATCATGACAAATGGAGAAAATATTGAAGTTGTCAATGATTTCTTTTTACTTAGATCCACAATCAGCACTCACAGATGCAACACTCAGAAAACCAAATGAGGTGTTACATTAGGAAAATCTGTTGCCATAGACAGCTTTAAGGTGTTGAAGAGCAAAGATGTCAGTTTGAGTACTAAGGTGCGCCTGACCCAGCCATGGTGTTTTCAATCATCTCATATGCATGTGAAAGTTGAAAACTGAATAAGGAAGATTGGAGAAGAATTAGTACCTTTGAATTATGCTGTTGGTGAAGAATATTAAATATACCATGGACTTCCAGAAGAACAAACAAATCTGCCCTTGAAGAAGTACAACCATAATATTCCTTAAAAGCAATGATGGCAAGACTTGGTCTCTCATACTTTGGACATGTCGTAAGGAGGGACTAGTCCCTGAAGAAGGACATCATGCTTGATTGAGTAGAGGGTAGGGAAAAAGAGGATAGATTGGCATAGTAGCTGCAACAGTAGGTTCAAACATAGCAATGATTTTGAGGATGATATAAGATCAGACAGTGTTTTGTTCTGTTGTACACAGTGTCGCTATGAGTTGGAACCGATTCAACAGCACCTAAAAGCAACAACAACATCACAAAATCTGGTAGTATGGAAAATTGCTATTTAGTTGTGGAGGGGAAGGTTTTTATGGGCCAAAATATGTAAGTTACTTTGTTATGTTGTTGTCGTTGTTGTTAAGTGTATTTAAGCCATCTCTGACTCCTAGTGACCTTATACGTAACAGAAGGAAACACTGCCAGGCACCATCCTCACAATTGTTGCTATGTTTGAGATACTGTGTCAATCCATGTCATTGAGGTCTCTTTACCAACCATGATTTTGTTCTCCAGGATTGTTCCCTTCCAGATGATATATTCAAAGTAAGTGAGATAAAGTTTTTCCATCCTTGCTTTTAAGAAATATTCTAGCTGCACTTCCTCCAACACAGGTTTGTTCTTCTGGCAGCCCATGGACTATTTAACATTCTTCACCAACACTACATTTCAAATGTGACAGTTCTTCTTCAGTCTTCCTTTTTCATCATCCAGCTTTCACAGGCATTTAAGGCAATTGAAAATACCATGACCTGGTTCAGGCACACCTTAGTCATCAAAGTGACATCTTGGCTTCTTAACACTTGCACCAGAACTTTGCCCAGTGCAACACTTTATTTGATTTCCACAGGTGTTGACTGTTGCTCCAAGAAGAGTGAAATCCTTGACAACTTCTATTTCTTCTCCATTTATCATGTTGTTGTTTATGGATCCAATTGTAAGGATTTGGTTTTCTTTGTGTTCTGATGTAATCTATACTGAAGGAAGGCTGCTGTCTTCAACCTTCATCAGTAAGTACTTCAAATCCTCTTTTCTTTCAGCAAGCAAGGTTGTGTGGCCTGCATATTTCAGGTTGTTAGTAAGTCTTCCTCCAATCCTGGTGCTCCATTCTTCTTCATACAACCCAACTTCTAGATTATTCATTCAGCATCTAGATTGAATAATTAAGGTGAAAGAAAACAACGCTGCCACGTTCCTTTTCCAATTTTAAACCATACAGTATCCCCTTGTCCTGTTCAGATGTCTTTTGACCCATGTGCAGATTCCTCATGAGTACAATACATGGAATTCCCATTCTTGTAACTGTTGCCCCTAGTTTATTATGATCCACATAGTTGAGTGCCTTTGCATAGTCAAATAAACACAGGTAAACAACTTTCTAGAATTCCTTGCCTTTTTCCAAGATTCATTTGGTATCAGCAGTGATAATCCTCATTCCAAGTCATCTTCAAATCCAGCCCGAATTTCTGTCAATTCTCTGTTGAAATAAGCTGTAACCATTTTTTAATTATCTCTAGCAAAATTTTGTTAGTATTTAGTGTTGATGAGGATATTTGATAATTTCTACATTTTATTTGATCTCCTTTGGAATGGCACAAATATGGATCTTGTCTAGCTGACTGGCCAGATGACTGCCTCCCAAACTTTTTACACAGAGTAGTAAGTGCTTCCAGCATTACTTCTGGTCTTTCAAGTATCTCAATTAGTAGTCCATCAATTCCAGGAGCCAATGCAGCTTGTACCTCTTTTATTGCCACTGATTTTTGTTCATGTGATAGGACTTCAAAAAGTTTGTAGGAAAATTCCATCATCTGTTCATTCCATTTTTCCATAAGCTTCTTGAGGCCTCCTAAAATGGTTGAATGTTGACTAATTCTTTTCAGTATAGTTACAATGTGTTTTCCATCTATTGTGTTTTGATGCTTTCTGTGTCCCTCAATTTTTTGCCCATAGAATCCTTCAGTATGGTAACTCAAAGCCTAACATTTCTGTAATTTTTTTCATCATTATCTTTTTAGTTTTTCCATATTTTCCAGGAAATCTCTATGTAAAAAGTCTTTTTGGTCAAACCTTCTGTGAAAGTACAAGATCAGAGTGTTTTCCAGTACAGTAATTGTCATTCAGTGATATACATATTCAGCAACAATCCCTGAAGAGGTTATGGAGCAGTTTTAGAATTTGTCATGGAGAGGTAGCAGTATAAAAGTCCCTGTGACAACCCTCTGTCTCTCTTATCTGGGAATCCCTATACCCAGTGGTCTGCACTGATGCTGAAATGGCCCTTTACTAGGAAAGGGAGGCCTGAAAAGTGTCTAAAGAGTACACTATGCACAAAATATGGTTAAGACATTTACTTTTTCAAGTATGACATTGAATTATATTTCTTAATGTGATTTGTTAAAAAATTATCAAATTCCAGAATATGTAAGAAGCACTGTGCTCAAATCATACTATAATTATTCTCTTGGGTTGGAATCTAGGATTTTTTGTCTTATGGTGGGGAGATGAGGGGTTATATTTAGTTCAAAGCTATGTTTCTGGAACAAGCTATATACTAAAACTGGATTGAAATTTTGAACTTTTCATAAATACAGTTATTTCCACTGTAATTGAAGTTTTAAATAATACTACATTGACTACAGAATAGTTGAAATATACACTGTTTTCAGAGCTTGGAAAAACAACTGAGGTTAAGCAAGAAAGCTTTTAATCAGCAGTTGGCTGTTGAGAACCGGAAGACATTTGCAGCTCAAACAGCTACAAAGACTCTGCAAATAGAAGTAAAACGACTTCATCAAAAACTTAAGGTATTTCTCTTCAAGCAAACTATAAGAAAAATTGTAAGATTCTCTTACCCAACATACAAAAACTATTTATGCCTCCTACCTCTTTAAATTATTTAAATTCATGAGTATAATTCTCAAATTAAATTTCTTTTGTAGAATCATATGAACAGGCAGAGGATCTGCAAGTATTAGAATGTGTTAAACAACATGGTAAATGTGCTCTGTAATTAGAAAATTAACGTTCCATTAGCAAATCTTATTTTTATTTAATCACATGAAGCATTATCGTATTTTGTTATCACTTTAACTCAGAATACTTTTTTTAAGATTGATTTTTTTTTAAAGCTTTTATTGTGAATCGAGTGATTGTTTACATGGGAACACATTAGTTTTGCACACATCGTATCATATTTTGTTTCATTGCAATGATTACAGTCCCCTCTGTGCATCATCATCATCAGTATTTGCTTCTATTCCCTCTGTTTTTTTTTTGTTGTTGTTGTTGTTTAATGTACACAAAGACACTCAGGAACATATAATCAACCATAGGCCACATTCTGCAAGCCTGCCTCCTGTCCACCAGCACATAGCCGCTCTCATCCATGAGTCTAGAGTCCTCAGTTGCTCTCTCTCTCCATGTCCTCATCTCTGCCTCCATCTGTGGTATCACTGCTTCTCTGGATAGGATCCCACATTCCGCTCATGCTCCTGTCCTTTGATGGTCCTACAGTCCTCTGTTCCTGGAATGTTAGATTAACTACTCCCCATTTTATGTTACAAGACTTCTACCTTTACAGTTGTGACAATCGCAGTTAGTTGTGATAACAATTACTCACTATTGAATCATAAGAATCTTATCCCCATCTCCTTTCACCAGACCCATTTACCCATTTAGACAAAATGAAAACTATTCAGTGGGAATTCTACCTTCCCCCACACAGTCTGAAACAAAACTCTGTCTTGAAAACTTGTAAGCCAGTCACTTCATGTCTTTATAGCTTCCTCCCTGCCCCATTTTAGGTAGCCAGTGTCTAAATTGCCCATACCTATCAACCCTGTATACAGAGGGGATAGGATTGATCCTTGATATAAAGAACTCCTTCCCTCTCAGTTGGTATTTGGAGCTATTACATCCATAAGTATAGGTCAAGTTCATTAAATTTTAGTAATTTATACTCGTTTCCTTTGTCAAATTTCAGAATACGTTTTGATATAATTTTAAATTTAATAATTTTTAAAGAACATGTAAATATTTAGGATAAAATGTAATGGCTCATAAATTTATTTATGTAGGGGTTAAGGGGAATGGGTAGAATGGAAGCAAAGTATTGTTTGTTTGTTTTTAAGATTCTCAAGGAAGCCCTTGTTGTTGTTGTTGTT